CTGGACAGAAACCCACCCTTTCTCCATTGCCTTTTCTAGTTATCAACCAGACCTAAAGCAGTTCCAATCATAAATGAAGGTCTCCAAAAGGTTTAAAGAATGATCCAGAGTATTCTCTCACCTGCTCAGCAGCAGCATTGGTCACATGGATCCCTTTCATCACTGGCCCTGAGCAGAAATGCAAGTGCCAGAAGTTCTTGGCTTAGAAGGGGCTGTTCCCATTTGCAGAGATGATCAATGTTCCTACACTGACAAGCTCTGGGTCTTTTAAGGACTTTTAAGAACCTGCTTAAAGGTTTTTTAAGGACTTTTAGGAACCTGTTTAAGGTTTTTTAAGACTTTTAGGAACCTGTTTGAGGTTCTGTTGAACCCTTCAGGTGCATTTCCAGAGACATTCACAGGTCTAAGTGCATTCTGATGAAGATGGGTAGCTGTAGGGCTTGGCCCACCACATTGCTGGTGATGAAACATTTCCTCATAGTGCTGCTCTTTGAACACAAGGAAAAAGGACAATCCTTGAAATGTGGCCTCAAGGCTGGGCTACAAAAAAAGTCTCTGCCAGCTCTCTACCACAACTGCCTTACTCAGAAAAAGATCTAAAGCTTTGTCCACTTACAAAACAGGGGAGATGGAGAAAACAAAGCAAAGATTATGCTCTGGGTGAAATTCAGAGGTGATCTTCATTCTTGTTTGATGAGGAAATCAGAAGAATCTATTTCCATAACAGAGGCCAGCAGCCAGCAGAATTACCTGTGTTATTTCCTGCTCTGGCAAGAGTTTGATATAAATGAGCTGAGACAAATGTTACTGTCCTACTTATTTAAAAAGATATATATTTAAGCACTTCTGTCTTTCCCAGAGATGCCAATAATTATATTCCAATTGCTTTAGAAACAGCAGTTGTGCACATGAAGACTATGTCCTTACAAAATCTGCTTTTGCATTCCACTTCACAAATGAGCAAACTGCAGCACTGAAATGCCTGGTGTTGGGGAACTAAATAATAATCAATTTCCATCTGTCTACGTGAGATAATTCAAGAGGGTACAAGTACATGACAATTTGATGACTAAGATCCCCAAGAGACTACCACTGTTGGAAATGGGAATGGCTTTCCTCTAAATTCTGTGCTTTATTTTTTTTCCCAATTGCATGGTTTCCTATAATTGGTTACTCTAACAGACTTCACAGGATACCTTCAGAAAAAAAAGCTTCCTGACAGTCACTTGCCAATTTTTTTAGGCAACAGCATCAGAGGAAGTTTCCAAAGCAGATGATAAGTATTTTTAAAAGTATTATAATAACCTAATAAATGTTTCCATGCAGAAATTGTTGGATCACAAGCAGTGGACTTCTTTCCAAGAAAACTTTAAAGTGCTTTTTAATTAGAAGTGCTTGTTAGCAATTCCAAACAGAGAGATTACTTTTTTTTTTTAAGTATGCACTCTATTTTGATAAAGAAATTTATGAAAAACTTGCAAACACCTGACAAAAACAGAAGCTTCATGTGTTGATTAAACAATCCATTTGATACTATTTGTTTGCCTCTAATGTAATGAATTAATTTTCTCAAGTGTAGTGAGAATTACAGTATTGCAATATAATGAACAACCTTCACAGGAAGTCCAAAACTGACTCTTGATTATTTTTTTTTAATTAATCAGGTGAACAGAAGCAAATGATGGATTATTAATTGAAAATTCAATCACCTATTCAAGCAAAATTTGGGGACACATCAGATATCTAAGATACTTTTCCTACACTACTGATTTCACTCTCAATTTACATTAATAATCTAACTTTAGGAAAGGAATATACTTTAGCACTTAAAACAGGTACGTGCTACATATTATAAAATGTGGTAGGTTTTTAATATAGAAAAAACAACAACACAGAAATACAACAGAGAAGCAATGGTATGAATGAAGAAAGGAAGGCAAAACCCCAAACTACAAAATGTGAATAAATATCAACATCTGAAAACAATGAGAATAAAAATGAGTGTGTGTGGGGAGGGCAATCCTGCACTTCTAGAAAAAAAAATTCAACTTATTATTAGGAGCAAATGAAGTGTATTAAAAATGTAGATTCACAGAGTCATTGGGTTTAGAGCCAAAAGGACTCAATGCAACCATCCAGTCTGATTTTCCCAGACTGCATTTCCTGTACCCAATAAAAACTCCTTATGGTTGGACAAGAAAATATTTTTAAAATTATGTTAACTACTGACAAAGAGTTGTTGCATAACAAAGAATCTCCTGATCTCCTGTGGCAATTTCCTTCATAGGCAAAATGTTGCAATTCATCTTCTTGGTAAATCTCTCTAGTAGTGTTTAAGACTGCAGAGTTTGGTTTCATAAGAATAAATTCTTTTCACAGTGGTAATGGGAATTGTTTTTACCCTCATTTTAACTTCTGAGTAGAAAACTCTTGACTGTAGCAGAGATGTAAAAATTCACAGCTGAGGAGAGGCTGCTTCCATTGTTTTTTGTAAGTTTTGGACTAATTATTTGATCTATCACTTCTATTATTTTCCACATCTATAATTTAGCAACAGCACAAGCAGACTCCTGGGTGTAGGTATCACATCTGAACAGAGACAAAAAACTTCTCAGAACATACAACAAAACAGAACAAAGGTGAAGAAGTAAAAGCAGGATAGAAATATATTTGCAGAATGGCACCTTGGCTCCTGGGCTCTAGTGGGTGGGTATGGCCTTTTCCACTCATACAGCCTGCTTGATTTGCAAGGATTCTTTATGAACACTAAAGCACATTTGCTTGGATTAGAATGATTTTCCACTAAGTGTAGAACCAGCTGGATCTTTCTTTTTCAAGGTTTAACAAAGTTCAGTTGGCTCTGACCATCACTAGTCATTTAACTGCTTGTTAGTGACTTTGGTAAACTTCATATCTGGTGTTTAATGCAGTGAGTCCTCACTGATTAAGATCTCACACAGTGTTTATTCCTTTGAAGGTTTGGCTCTCTCAACTTACAGCTTCTGAAATGACAAAACTAGAAGCCTGTATCCCTATTTAATAAAACAGTTCAAGTAAAACACAAGGCAGGATATTGCACACACTGTTACTGGACATCTTCTGGGAAGGCTTAATTTTTCCAGGAAAAAAAATCAATTGCCAAGTTCTTACATAATTTTCTGAGAATAGGGTAAGGCTTGTGAAAGCTGATGAGGTTACTCAGCAGTAGAAGATATCTCAATTTTATGTGCCCATTGATGGTTTAAGTGGACACAACCTTTTCATACACATGTAGCACTTTAAGCTGACTGAAAGGCTGAAATCCAAAAACCTCATGCTTTCTATTAAGTTTGACACAGAGGAAAGCACCAGCAGAGTGAGTTAGGTATTAAAACTGCATCTCTTAACCCTTAGTGAGGAGGAAACTTGAATCAGGATCCAGTGCCAAGTTTAGCAACCATTTCCATCCATATGTGTTTTAGTGTCAATCCCCAAATGCATGACCTGGTATGGCATTTCCATCTGCTCGAAACCAGTGATGAACAGTTCAGAGATAATTATTTGCTGAAATCATTCTAGTTATCAGTTGAAAATCTCATAGACACACCTGCTGCCAGTGACCAGTGCTTTTAAGTAATTACTAAAGTATTAAACACAATATCAAAGCTAGAAGAAATTTTTAAAAATGGTTATGTGGACTATTATTCCAAGACCTTAAACACAGATTCAGTTTTATGCTTGAGAACACAATTCTTAAATTTACCTTAAATCTGAGCTTGGTCAAACTAAGCATACACAGATTTCTGGAGGTGTGCTGAAGGCTGTTCAGAGCAGTTTGGTAGGCCCAGCAGTCGAAATAAATAGTTGCTGTTGTGAATTCACATTTGAAAACTGACTCCACTATTCAACACTCTCTGATATTTCTCTTTCCTCGGGGATCACAGAGCTCATGCTCAAACCGGTGAGGACATTTAGTGCTCCTTGTCCTTCTAATCAGGCAGAGCTGGGCCTGTCTAGCAGGAATGAACATCAGGAGAGCCTTTGGTGAAAAGGGCATTGGAAATCTCTGGCTGCAGGGAAGGGACAGTGTGAAGCTCCTGTCACTGATGTGTAGCCCAGCTCTGTCCTCCATTCACCCCCATGTGGAAACCCAGCCCGGGCTGAAACCCTGGGATGAGTCACACTGTTTGGATACACCCACAGAACCAAGGATGGCAAAACTTCTGTATAAATAGCATGCTAGTTGAAAAGAAACTGAAACCAAAACCAAAAAAAACCACCTTGCACCTCACTATTTTGACTGTTGGTTTGTTTTTGGTTTTTTTCCCCTTTCAAATCCCCATCAGGGAGGATGAATTTGGAATTTAAGGTTAATAAAGCAATATCTGGAGACTGCTGTTCTCTGGTAGCCTGTCATTCATCCTGCCACCTGTGCACAGACCCCCTTTTCTTACTTGCAACAATAAAAATGTTAATTTCTATTTCCTAATTCTTCTTGCTTGTGCCTCTTGAGTTTTCCTAGCAACCATCAGCAATGCAGATCCAACTACTGGGGACCCTAAGCACAGTGCAGTCAGCAAAGAACATTTTACACTTCAAGAATTTTCAGCCTCTTTTCCTTACCAAGGTTTCTAACCTATGAAAATTTCCTAACAAGAGCAGGATAAGATGGGCCCTTTTTCTTAATAGATGGTCACTTTGCAGGACAAGGTGTTTTGCTAACAGGAAAATGTTATTAGTTCTGGCTAAGCAATGACTTTCATGATGTAGCATTTAATTAATAAATGTGATTTATATACAGACAGTGAGCCATAAAGATGACAGCATGCTCCCAGAAGATTTTTTGGTAATTAAATTTTATATCTTCCCAAGCATTATTCTCTGTGCTCAAAGGAAAATATTGACAGCTCCACTTTTTAAATGTTTTTTATTTTGGACTCTGCTGATAAACAGGGTGCACTGCCAAAAACTACAAAAGAGAAATGAAAATATGATGTTAATGCTTCTGTAACATTACTTACTGTGGTGGCACAGTGGATGTCTTTCCATACATTGGCTTCCCTGGAGAGATCTGAGACTTCAAAAAGGTTATCAAGAATAACTTCCCCAATCATGTCATGTCTAGAAAATCTGTCAAAATCATAAACACTGAAATGCAATTTCCTGTTGCTGAGTTGATCATAGGCTACAGGAAACTGAAAGGTTTCATCAAAGACTGGATTTAATGTCTTTCTGTGAACTCGGGTCTGAAACTTCTTTTTCCTATCTGGAAGCAGATAAATCTTCACGTAGGGGTCAGATGTTCCTGCGAAGTCTTTAGCAGGCAGATCTAAGGCTTTGACAATTGTGACAGCCAGAAGTTCATTCTCATAATCGTACCGCAGAGTGAAGTTTAGTTTTCCACATGTTTTCACATCTTCCTGTTGCCCATCAGAATCCACAGACTTCTGTTTGTAGAGTTCTGGTTTTATTCTCCCAATGCTGGTTGTGGTCTCTCCCCTCTGCAAAACTGGGTCTGTCCCCATGTTAAAATCAACACTGGACACCTGCATCTGCCTTGGCAAGTGCCTCCTGAAGGAATTGTGCCTGCACAAACACGCACAGACACACAAAGCAAGCCATGGTTATCTCTGGGAAAAGACCATCTCTCAATAGAAAATATAAGAACAAATAAGTGAAAAGACTAAAAGAATTTAAAAAATAGCCCTCTCCAAACCCCCTTCAGTGTTTTGCAAGTGTTCAAGCATCCTTGAGAGGAAATGATCATTCAGAATTAATTTCTTGGCCCAGGAGACACCCACTGTCCCAGAAATAAATATATTTATAGCTTTGCTTTCAGACTGTGCAGTTGAAACTGAATTCATGTTCCTTCACAGAACAAGTTGACAGTTCCAACATTGCATGATCCCACTTTGCCAGGGCCTGAGTAAAGTATGGTCAAACAGGAAAAAAAAAAAAGCTCTTGCAGAATTTTCGTCAGTACTCTCTGCTTTTTTGGAGGCATTCCATGGTGGTTTCCCAATTAAATATTTACCAGCCTTCACAGTGATGACTGTAAAAGGCACCTGAAAGGGAAATGCAGAGCTGTGTCTGGAGGGTTTTAGCATAGTGCTTTGCCATCCTACAACATTTTATATACACTTGCTTGGTATCTGCTACACTGAGGTGCAGGCTGCTTTCTCCAGAAGCACTGGGAATATTTTGTTCTGCTTGCAAAGCATTTCAGAGTTTTGCCAACAATTTTCTGCCATTGCTTTTCCTTTTGTTCTCACGGCGTGCCATGCAGTGTGTTAGAAAGTTGATTCCTGTGCCACTAGCAAGAAACAGTATGTTAAATTCCTTGCAATTCTGAATACAATGTTACATAAACATGTGTACTTATGGGCTTATCTTGGCTCATGAATCTGAATGGAAAGTTGTACTGTTCCTACTAAGAGTGAAATCAGACCCCTGACATGCCATACAACCTTAGAGTGGTATAAAAACACTGGACAAAAAGCTTCACAGCATTTATCAGCAGCAGATGCCATTATGACTACACTATCTAGTTTATTTTTTAGGCATTTTCACATTTCCTTGGTACTTCCCTACCCCAACAATCTGTGCTGCAGAAGCTTACCACCTCCTCCTGTGAGCACACTTAGTTGCCATTAAAGAACAATCCAATTGTCAGAATTTCCTCTGCTTTTTTGCAATCAATTGCTTATTAATACCACATGTAGCCTTGCCTTATTGCTTGGTTTCCCTGTGGTGTTGTGTTCTGAAAACAAGAGGTGTCACAGCTGTGCGTTTCTTTCTTTGAAACAGAAATGCAAATTGTCCATTTGAAAGCAACCAGGACTCATTTCATAGATATTATTTGTATTTTTGCTGTAAGTGAAGAGGTTGCAGAAGGCAAGAGGCACAAAACTGCTGCAGTTCAGCTGAGCAGAGACACAAGAGGGTAATCTGCAGCTATTAAATAATAGACAAGAACCTTTCCCCTTTCAGCTGTTTGAGCCCTGCTAGGTGCAGGGAGCAGCCCTAGCTCAACACAAGAACAGGGCAGGGAGAGCTACATAGTCTAGACTTGAAGTAGCTCAAAAAACCCCAGGTGTTTGGATGTCAAATTTAGATGAGCACTGCGCCCCTTTTGTAACACACTTGGCCTTTCTTTCTCTACAGATAGACAAGTGGAAAGATTTTCTTCTCTCTTAAATGTTAAAACTCCCTGAATTCACAGTGTCTAATTTCCACATTGGAATGAAGTGAGGAATGAAAAGGCCCTGACTGGTCAGAAAAGTAGAATATTGTCCTCAGGGAGTTTCACAGCTGTTCCTGTGCTTTTGCCTCCAAGAAGCACAAGAGCTCATGGGTGTGCCAAACATGGGGAAGGGGCCTGAACTCAACCTAAAATGCAGGGCAATGAATTCCTGAGCAGGCAGCAGTTTAGGGACTATTTTTTAGTATCTTTGACCCCTAATGAGGTCCAGGCAGATCTGTGTTACTGCTGCTTCTGTCAGTGCTCAGGAAACCTGTGCAGAGAGGGCTCCCTGAGTGCTCCTCACACCTGCAGCTGTGCTACTGAGATGCCCAGATGATCAGAGGGTCATGGAATAGTTTGAGTCAGAGAGGACCTTATAGATGATCCAGTTCCAATCCCCCTGCCATGAGGGATCGTGTTCAAACCCTGCTGTACACAAGCAGTGCCTAAAACTGCCTTTGCAGGGGAAACAGTGAAGCTGATTATACAACATCAGTTTGACCAGAAACAGGTACATGACAAATTCTCTTCAGCTTCTCTTGCATTTTTGACAACCTGGGTTAATGCAAGCAAAAGCAATATATGACACCCCAAATCTATGATTTCTGAGGTGCAAGGTTTCTTTTAAATTTTTAGACTTCTGTTAAATTTTCAGACTTCTTTTAAATTTTCAGACTTCATGCACTTCAGATCCTCTACTGAATTGTTGTGAGATGTCACCAAGTAAAAGAATGCATTTGTTTGGCTGTTCCCTGTGGGAATCAGCAGCACTTTTGCTCTAGTAAGCCAAAGTCCTAATTACACAGTGCCTAGTATTTGTTCTGAGTCACAGCATTTCACCAAGACAGCTAATTGGTCTGCTAATTATTAAGATGTTTCATTGTTGTCATGGCAACATATTTATCTTCCTTTGTTCTGCAGTAACAAAGGGATTAATGACTGTGATAATGAAATACAAGGATGTCAGAAAACCAGGTTGTTAAAATGTGGCAGAGCTACCAACAGATGCAAATCCAGGTATGTCAACCTCTACTGACTCTTTCATGCAGCACTCCTACAGTAGACTTGCCTTCCATAACAGAACAAACACATTTTGAGTATTAGCAAATCTGTATGTAAATGTAATATAAAACTGTATTTTCATGGGCATAATGACACTATAAAGCTGACTTCTAACTCAGTGAGACTGCCACATCTGTGGCAAAAGGGAGGGATAGGGTGCTGGTTTATGATGTGACTTGAGATTTATGAGGATGACTTGGGTCTCGCTTTCCTAGATGCATTTGAGCAATCTTTTGGCCAAAATCCAGAAAAGAGAGTGATCACTGGTGGTATTTAGACAGAACAAAAGCTTCTCCTTGCAACCACTAAAATCAACAAATATGTTTGTTTTTCTTTAACCTTAACAAAGCCAAGCACCTCAGTTTTGCCTTTGTGCCTTTTGGGAACTGACTAGCTCAACATGTTCCTCTCCAGCTGGCACTAAAGACCAAAAAGCACGTTCTTGGAAAGTACAGGTGAATGTTTGAAGAATGGATTTCCAAAGAAGCAATAAACTATATTGCAAAATACTATCACAAAGTAGCAGATAGGGTGGTTCTCAAAAACACAGAGCAAAGTTGTTTGCAAATGAGTACCACTGCTGCAGTTCTTCTAATGTAGTGGTTAATTGGCATCAAGGACTAAAGAGCTTTTAACAAACAGGTCTTTTCATGTTATCGGGGACTATGAAAAATATGTAATATGTTATAACTAAACAGAAATATGTTTATAACTAAAATATGTTATAACTAAACAGAAATGTATCATTTTCCCATACTAACATGTGTCTGTGCTAATGTAGTCTAAAAAATGTGATCAGGCACATTTGATTGTTGCTCTGATGGGCTTATTAAAATCCTCATGCTTCAATTACAATTGCTTAATACGGATTAATTTATTCTATTAAGAGCTGATGGCTGCATGAAGCCATCGCAGAACTGGTTACAACCCTTTAATTTGCCCCATCTCATGTGAGCTGAGTGCACAGGAGACAATCCAGAGAGCAAACCTTCCTCTCAGACCCTTTGGCAATGGAATACATTTAGGAGAGGGTGCATCTGAATCCCTCAGGACTCCTGAGGACAATGAAGCAGTGCTGCATTGAAAATGGTGCAAGGGAAGTTGTGCTACCTTGACATCTGCCTTTGCCTTCTTTTGATTTAGCGGCTCCTAGTCAAGGACACCAGAGCCAGGTTTCAGTCATTGCTGGTACATTGTTGCCAGCTGGGCTTGAAACAAAAAAAAAAAGGAGTAATTCAGAAACCTGGTCTAAATGTCCAGCCTCATTCTCATATACGATATTCTTGACAGCAGCAATTAATATGGGCTGTTAGGTTAGGACTCCCTTAAGGCAGGCAGGGTGTAGGTGCAATGTGTTTACAAACAGAAAGATCACAATTTCTGGGTAATTTTTAAGGCACCTCTCATTCTAAACATGTTTTGTAAAAGGATGCAGAATTTTTCACCAAACTTTAAAAGAAGGTGATGTTTCCTATCACTCTGCTACTGATTGGCTGTGGTGGGACAATCAGTTACTCAAAGCACAGGAACTGTCCCTTTCAGAGGAGATTTAACCCTGATAATCTTGATAAGACAAAAAGAAACCTCCCTTACAAGGTTGCAGAAAGACTGGTGTTGACAGGAAGTTTTATTTATGTAAAACTGTCCTTGGCTTCACAAATATTTTGTATTCATTTAGACCCCAATCCAAATCACTCTAGAGACCTGTGAGAATATTTTCACTGCCTGAAGTAGATCTGGAACATATCCCTGGAACTTCTTTCTCCCTCTATAGTACAATTGGGACTATCCAAGTCCATTTGCCAGCCAGCTATTTCTTCTGTCTATTCAGGATGTCAGACAGTCTGAAAACTTGGATTTGATGGATAAACTCTTTCAGTTAATATCCTTTTAGGCAGCAGTGAGCTGGGTAATGGGCTTGCCATGCTAAACTGTACGAATTTTTGTTCCTCTGTGTTTAGTGCAACAGTTGCAAGTTCAGAATTATCGGAGTGTTGTGAGAATGTTTCTCAGCGTTTGGATGCTGAGTTCCTGTTCTGAGCAGATGGATACAGTAGCAGGAACCAGGCACAGCCAGGGTAATGTGGCTTAAAGCCAGCTGGACAGTCTCATAATTCAGGAGATGCTTGGGCTGCTAAAGCCAGTCAGTCAGACCTCCTCTGGCTGGAGTGCTCTCATTTTGGGAGCTTCATGTGCCTTCCTGCTGGCTGGTCTGTGAGGCTGGAACAGCTGAGAAAAAGCACTTGAGCACTCACTGCCACCGCGAGTGCACTGAGCTGGCAAAACATTGTCTTTAGGGCTCCCAGGAGGCCAGCAAAGCATGTGCCCACTCAGTGTAAAGCATGTGTCTTCTCCTCCTTTTGCCTCTAATTATTGTGAATGTGAGCCTTTGTGTGTGTGTGTGTTTCTTTGGTTTTAGTGGGTTTTCTCATGTGGTTGGTTTTGGGATTTTTTTTTTTTTGGTAATATGTGTTTCTTTAGCAAACAGCACTTTGAGAAAAATGCTACTTCCTACACAGTTCCTGTACTGTAACTTATGGCATTACACAATACTCCAGGTGCCTCTTTTAGCCTTAATTTTCCCAATCTTTGCTAATAAAAAAATCCCCTTTTTATTTCAGGGTTTGATCTTTGCAATTCATTGTTTGTTTCCATGCATTAAATTTCCTGACAGTGTTTGAAGAAAATCCCATTTGAATCTATAGGTCCCTGCACGTCTTCATTGCTTTTCAAGATAAAGTGGCACCTGATGCAAAATTAAAGTTTGTGTCCTCCACTTTAATATTAAAGATACCACTAAGGAATGCAATGTGCTTTTCATTTATTTGTAGACCTATATGGAATCTGTGCAGCTTTAAGATCAGTCCATAAGGATCTGTATTTTTAGACTGGAATTTTAGTTCCTTCATAATCAGCAAACCATGTCTTCAGGAAATGTGCCATCAACAATGAGTCTCTCACTCATTTGGTTGAAAGGGAAACTTTCATCTGCAAAAACAACTGATGCGTCTATAAAAAACATCTCTGTGAAAATCTAGACTCGCAATTTTTTAAAAAAACCACTGAAATATGTTTTCCTGTAATCAAAACCCGAAAGGGAAATGCTTAAAGTGGCAACAGCTATCTTTACAAAGTAGTAGAAGATTTGGGTTTCAATTTCATATGTTAAAATGATTATGGAACTGAAGTCACACTAAATGTTTCAGAATATTCTGTCCAAAGAACAGTGTGGCTTTGCATTCACATGACTGATGTTTTACCCATAACTTCTAAGAAACCTGTGAATAATGCAGCAATCCTGGAAATTTTCAGCAGTGTTCCTGCTCTCCTTGTTCCTGGGAAAGGTGCCACGGGTGTGGGTGCCCCTGACCTACCTCGATGAGGATGTGGGCTCTGTGATCTGCCTCTGCATCCTGGCATGTCTGATCAGGTGCTCCTTCAGCGCGTTCTGCACCTCTGCTGGGATATCAGGGGAAGTGTGGCTGATCTTCAGCGCTGCCTCGAGCACCTTGGTCGTAGCTTTCCCATTTTCTTTGACTTCCTTTTTCTCGCTGTTCTCCAAAACCTCCGTGGGAGCGCTGGAGTTGCTCTGTGGGACATTGCTGGTGCTGGAGGTGAGGGGTTTGCTCCTCCAGCAGGGCCAGCACAGCTTCCAAAAGACAAAAAGCGAGACCACCAGCAGGGCGAGCCCGCAGAAGCTGACAACCACGGCTAAGAGACTGACTGAGACATCTGCAAGGAATTAGAAACAAAAAGCATCGTGACAGACAACATGCAGAGAAAAAAAAATTAAAAATGACACAAGCAAGAAGATAGAAGCATTATTTTTATTATGTCTGTGTAGGGCTTTAAAGTCCTATTAAAAGTTGTGAGTTGTTGAGTTGTTTTTTTTTCTTTTTCATTTTGATATCTCAGCCTGCACCTTTAAGATTTTATTATTTTATTATTTTTAAAGTTTATTATTTTCTTTATTAATAAATAAATTAAATAAATAAATTATAAATAAACAATCTCTTTATTATTTCCTAATATCTGCTTCACAAACATTCCTTTAGCTGTTCAGGCCAAGGGCCAGTATGTGTATCACTCACCACATACTCAGACATCCTTCTCAGGAATTTTCCTTCTCAGGTAGTAAGGAAACAACCCCAAAACCTCCCAGCCACTGTTGGCTAAGGATGTTGAGATCACTACATGTAAGAAATATTGACCTAGTTTGCTAAAGCGAAGTTATTGTAATCAAATAACAAATATCCTCACTGAGATTTAAAGCAAACACAAGAGAATTCTGTTCTCAAATCCTGATTTCCAATTTTGAAAACAAGCACCTATACAGACAGCCTTCTCCTGGTGGATAATGTACATATCCCTTTGCTTACTGGCTTCAGATGGAGGACACAGATGCTGAAAACATCAACAACTTTAATTTTAGTCACAGGTTGTTGATGCTTAGTTCTTTAGAACACATATTTAGAACATCAAGAACACGTTGATGGAAAAGTTAAGCCACAGTCAACATTTTCTATCAGTACACATGAGGAAAGATTACATCTAAACTGCTAAAGGCTGATGCACAAATTTCTTTGAGATTTGCCAAACTTCTGACTCTGTGCGCCAACTGCTTCAGAAACATTTTAAACCCCAACATTTAGGTGTAAATAGGAACAAGATAAAGTCTGTCATAAATAAGAGATTTCTGTGGTTAAATCACCAGCTCTGGAATACGGCTGTGTCAGACCAAGATAGCGCAGATATATCAGTTTCTACAATTCTGCTATGAAAATGCAGCTGGCTTCAGAGAACACAGCAAAATGCCCTGAGCTGTACAGAGATCATGCTGTACACTGAGCTACTCTGGCTGCCCTGTGTTTGACTTTTGCTGCCAAAACTGCTTAGAATATCCAATAGCCTGGCCAGAGATAGCAGAACAGATTTCATAGCAACAAAATTCCATGGACACACACGAGCTTTACAAGATGGTGGATCACCAGGACTGCCTGGTGATTAGTTGAGCCCTAATTAGGAGTTTTATTCTATGTGACATGCTTCCATTTGAGTTTTCCAGTATCCTGTAATATTATAACCAAAACATCTCTTTTCTTTTCAAAACAGTCTTTTATATGCCTTAAAATTATTCACTAAGCCCTGCTTAAATATCCCTCAAGTAATGGCTGCTGCTGTTTGTTACAATGAGTTTTGACAGTTTAACAGCTAATACTTGATTGTATCCATAACTCCAGGCTACAGGCTACTAAACTGAACCACTGGAAAAGTGCAAACAGAGTTTGAGCATATTTTTATAGATTTTCATGTGAGCATAAAGGTATGGATTAGCTCCATGAAACATTATGTACCTCACTAGTGCTTATGAGAATTGAAGACAGGAAGATGAAGCAGAATGATGAAGATAAAAAGCTGAAGGTGAAAATTTGGCAATGTTTTCTTTGTTAATATATAATATCCAGAAGCATCTCTCAGTAACAAACAGAACTTACAGAACCAAACTGAACTTACAGACCACTCTTCCTGAAAATGCGTGAGAAAAGCAAAAATCTATAGAAAATGTTATAGTCTGGAGATCATAGCCTTCCAGCCAATTCCTAGCCAGGGATCAGGAATTACAATAGGTAAATGATCATTAGTGGGTGGTTTGGATGTGCCCTTCTGTTTCAGTGGATGACAGGCATTAATAGCAAGGAGAGAGGCTCTTGCATGACCTCAGTTCCAGGGAATGGTCTGTAGTGGGTTGATTGACAGATGCCAGAGGCCCATCAAAGCTGCTCTGTCAGCCCCCTCCTCAGATGGACAGGGGAAAAATATCACAAAAAATCTTGTGGGTCAAGATAAGGGCAAGGAGAGATCACTCAGCAATTACTGTCATGGGCAAAACAGACTTAAAGTGGGGAAATAAATTTATTATCAATCAAATCAATAAAACCAAACCACAAAACACTTTTTTGCACTTCTCCCTTCTTCTGGGGCTCAACTTCACTCCTGCTTCCTCTGCCTCCCCACTGCAGCAGCACAGGGGCAATGAGGCTGCATCAGCTCTTCACACGTTGTCTCTGCTGCTCCATCCTCTTCAGGACTCCTCCTCTCCTGCAGTGTGTGGTCCCCGGCACAGGAGCCAGTCCTGCACAAACTCCAGTGGGAATCCTTCCCACCCACAGCTCCAGGGTGTCCCTTCAGCTGGGAGCAGACCTTGGGGAGCACACTGCTCCAGCACGAGCCCACTGCAGGGTCAGCAGTCACTGTAGATATTTTTTCCCCCAATGATGGGGGGAGAATGATGCATCTGACTCCATCTTATCAGAAGGCTAATTAATTACTTTAATATACCTATATTATTCTATATTATATTACACTATATTACATACATCTAAACTGAATCTGCCAAGCACTCAACTGCACCCCACAGCACAGAATCTTGTGATTGTCAGTGGCACTTCTGACACACACATGCTAGGCCCTGATAGGCCAAGGAAACAAATCACCATCATTTTGGGTAAACAATGTCCATATTGCACTCTACTTCTGCACAAACAAAGGCACAGCAAATGATAAGAATTGTTTTTCCTTTCTTTGAGGTTCAGAGAATGTGAAACCCAGAAATATTCTTGGGAAGAATTGTGCCTTGCTTTTCTCTGTGAAGAGAAAAGTGGTGAAAAGGAGTCTTGCCAGCAAACCTGCTCCAGTGAGGGATCCTCTCTCTTTCCACAGGTCCACAGATCCTGCCAGAGGCCTTCTGCAGGGTGGGCTCCTCACAGGGTCACAGCCTCCTTTGGAAATTCACCTGCCTTGGGGTTGGGATGGGCTGCCGCAGTGAAGATGTGCAGTGGGAGGCACCTTGCTCTCACACCTGGAGTGCAGCCATGATATCTTATGAAAAATCCTTTCCTTAGGATTTTTTCTCCTGAGAAGCTGAGAAGCCTCAGGAACAAAATGCAAACAATGATTATCTGCTGCTGTGGAATGCAACAGGTGGATCTGTGATTGGTCTCATGTGGTTGTTTCTAATTAATGGCCAATCACAGTCCAGCTGTCTGGACTGTCTCGGTCAGTCACAGGATTTTGTTATCATTGTTTTTCTCTTCTTAGCTAGCCTACTGATGAAATCCTTTCTTCTATTCTTTTAGTATAGTTTTAATATAATATATACCATAAAATAATAATTCAAGCCTTCAGAAACATGGAGTCAGATCCTTGTCTCTTCCCTCATCCGAAGACCCCTGTGAACATGGCCACACTGGAGCTCCCCCTCCTCTCCTTCACAGACCTTGGTGTCTGCAGAGCTGTTCCTCACAAATTCTCACTCCCCTCCTCCAGCTGATGATGCACAGCAGATTATTTTTTTTCTCCCTTCTTAAAAACATTTTCCTGAAACCCCTGTGTCTGGAGGGCTCGGCCTAGGCCATCCTGGAGCCGGTTGGCCTTGGCTCTCTTGGACATGGGGGAATCTTCCAGAAGCCTCTCACAGAAAACCCCCTTCTGCCACCAAAACCTGGCCAGGCAAACCCAATGCACAGTCAAAAGTGAATTTAATATATTCCTACAGAGGTAGGCCTCACTGAAGAACCTTCTTTGATAGATTGGACCAGACCAATTGTCAGGCAACCTGGCCAAATTTTTTTTCTCTACAAAACGTGAAACTCTTGAAAATGTTGATAGTCTACCAGAAATAAATAAAAATTAAGAAAAAAAAAGAGAAGAAAACAAAAATTAAATTCAATTTTGGGTGATTTGCAATATTGCCAGCTCAGTTTAGGGACAGTTGGCATAATTAGGTTGTATTTTGAGAGGAAGACCTTTAGAACTGAAAATTGTAGGGTTTTTTTTCCATTTGGAAAATGTTGAAGGAGGATGTTTTAACAACTTTGAAACTGCTGGAAACATTTCAAAACCAGAAATATGAAAATTGATCCCTTCCAGCAGAGCTTCAATTTGATGAATAGATACTATCAGCTGAAAAACATTGCATCAAAGCATTTCTAGCCAATTCTAATTTAAGTTTTTCACTGCAAGACATTTTTCAAGCCTTCAAATAACTTCTTGTCTCCTTTCAACACCTACTCCTGTACTTCAACTTTCTCTAAGCTGTTTTTCTGGATTTCCATTAAGCTACTTCAAAGTTGAAAAAGCTCCCAAAATCCTTACAGAAAATATGTTTTATATCTGTAAAATAATCTCATGAAATATCTAAAATCTTACAAGCAGAGATAAGGAACTAATTCTATAAACAGTTGTAGTCTCATTTTTTTGCTATTTTATTAATAAATTAAAAAGCCTCACATATTGAATTTCATAGTGCAACAAATACAGGAAATATTTGAATTGCAAGAAAAATTACCAAAAAATAGTTCATTACGAAAAACCACTTAATTACATTTATTTCCACAATTGCTAAAAAACAATCACTATGCCATGAAATAAAAATTGACATAAAAATCATATTGTTCAATGTCCTTCCTTCTGTCAGTCACTCAACTGGGCAATTATGAGACATTTGTTGTTATGTGAAGAGTGAAATCATCTGAAGAGTAGTCAAACCCTGGATATGCCTCTTCTATTAAGGTTTTATAGGATTTTTTGTTCAAGAATGCAGAACATTACGATGAAGTTCTGCAGACTTGGAGCTTCTTCACATCCCTGCCAAAGAATCCTGATTGGGGAAAAAAAATGGGTACTGAAGGATGGATTTGCCATCAGACCAGGGTTGCACTCCACATAAAAAA